GTAATTTCAATTGATCAAACGTACTATTTTTTTTATTATTATTCATATTTTATACAGCATTTATACATCGTTCAAAATTTACTGTAATTTCAATTTTTCAAACTTACCTTTTTTTTTTTTACAAGAAAAACAATTAACTTACTTTTTATTCTAATTGTAGGAAAAAAGGGTGTTACTTATTTAAATGAAATGAAATTTGCAATTTGAAATTTGGAATGTGAAGTTTGAAATTTTGAAATATTCCAAATACGTATATTAAAATATATCTAAATAAAATAAAGTCAATATAAATTTAATATAAATGTAAATGTTTATATATATATATACATACATACATACATACATACATACATACATTGATTAGTGTGAAAATGATCAATTAAAACAAAATTGCCAAAGATAATTTACACGAAGATGCTTGAGATAGTTTTCTATTCTACGAGTAGAAAGGAGGGAGGGGGGGTTAATTAACTGTGATAGGTCTCTTGTTGCGGGGAGGGGAGTAGAGAGAGGTAGAGGGGGGGGGTAATTTAGAAGGGTAAAATCATTGGTCACGCTCAATAAGTCGACGTAGTTCGTGTTCTTTCGTCGTCGTTTCTCGCGTGTGGAATCACCTTGAGGCATCGAACCAAAGATAATTCACGATCGTTCCATAATTTATATAAAACTATATACTTCTTACTTTACACACACACACACACACACACACACCAGCATGAACACACACATGAACGCATGTGAACAAAAACTTATATTTGTCTCTTCTCTTTCTCCCACTTTCTTTGTCTCTTTTACTGTTTTACTATTTTTCTGTGTGTAGACAATACATGTGTAGATATTTTACAGATATATCTATACGTATACTTTTTTTTTTAAATCTTGTTAATATATTATCTGGTTTATTCGACTATTAGAAAAAAAAAAACAAAAAAGAAACGTAGCTATTTTATTTCTTTCTCGTTATCTTGATTACGAAACATTTAATGTATTTGTGAGTTTAAGAGAGAGAGAGAGATAGATAGATAAATAAATAGATAGATATAGATAACAGATAATAAAGTTGTTTTAAATGGCACGAATTACAAAGTAGAACCCAAAAATTGTTAGCTGATCCAAATAATAATACTACAAAATTAGGTTATTTTTTATAAACAATATTTTAATTATCCTATTCTAAAATTGGTTATTTTTTAAATACTACTTTTAGGTTAGGTATTATATTAATACCCAAATTAAATAATTTTATTATTAATTAATTTAAAAATATAATATGTATATAATAATTTTTATAATGGATGAATAGAAATGATTAGAATGAATTCAAATTATAATTTAAATAATTTTTTATATTATTATTAATTTAATAATTTAATAAATATTAAATAAATTAATTCTGTGTATATTATATAAATTAATATAATATTATTAATAAATAATTAATTAATTATCAATTAAATTATAATTATAAACCTTGCCTTGATGAACTGGAAGTTTTTATTTCAATCACAAGAAATAAAAATAATACTTGTTTTTTTTTTCTTTATTAAAAATATAATAATTATTTTCTAATTAATTATTCATCAATTAATTTATAATAATAAACTTTAACTTATTGAACTGCAAGGTTTTATTTGAATCACAAAAATTGTAAATATGTAATTGTTTTATTTGTTTTTTTGGCAAATCATCGAAATATTTCATATTTGTTTGCGGTCCCAACGATTATGCGACACGTTAGAGAAATTTTTGGTTCAAAAAAAAAAAAAACAAACAATCAAATTATAAATAAACCACTACGCACGGATATTTATTCACACGAATATAATACCGTCTTTCTGTTAGATTACTTTCCGCGATTATGGCGCACGTGCTTCTTCTTTTTCTTCTTCTTCTTCTTCTTCTTTTTCTTCTTTTTCTTTTTCTTCTTCCCACGTATCGTGGCTCGGGGTCTTTAAATATAGCAGTCGTGTCATAATTTCACCTTTTAAAAAAAAAAAAAAGAAAAAGGCAAAAGTAAAAGAAAAAAATAAATGCTCGCGTCAGCTACTACGATAGTACTTTTTTTTAGGTTATACGTAATTTTTTTTTGATATATTTGTATATATATATCATTAATAATAATATTTATTATTTATTAATACTATACTATATAATAAATTAATTATTTTATCATATTAATTTAATTATTATTAAATATTAAAACAATTCACAACAACTCAACAAATTCATTTTCAATAAATCCAAAATATTAAATAAAATTATTTACTGTATATTTATATATACAAAATTGTTTACAATAGTATTACTTGTTTAGCAATACTATATTAATAAATAATTAATTATTATTACAATATTATTATAATAATAGTATTAAATATTAAAACCTCATTTTTTCGTTGAATACAAATATTAAATAATTTAATTTTGTGTATATTGGTATATATTTGTATATATTAAATATATTAACAAATTAATAATTATAATAGTAGTAATAATTATTATTAAATATATATACTATTATATTATTAATAAAATAAATTGGTATTAAAAATACTATATTAACCTTTGCTTACGACACTTAGTCCAAAGTACCCAGACCTTTTTTGCAACTTGAGTCATTTTTCTCAATTATTCAACTTTGATAATTTTTTAAACATATTTAAATTTAATTTAAAGCTATAAAACCTATATAGTCTTTTTAAGTAAGTATTAAAGAAGTCTCAAAAAAATGTTGAAGTAAATCTATGCAATAGTTTCTTTTTTATAACAATTTTTCTCACCCGGGTCCAAAGGACCCTGGTGTGGTAAGCGTGTTACTCCAGGAAGGGTGGTAAGCAAAGGTTAATAAAAAATTAATTATTATTACAATATTATTATAATAATAATAATAAATATTAAAAGCAAATATTAAATAATTTTAAATTATTAATTTTAATTGATATTTTTGCAACAATATTCGTAAAAATAAATTCAATATATTTCTTTAAAATATTAATTATGTAATATAACATACACATTATGAAACATAATTTTCAAACATTTGTACGATATTATAAAATATATTATACACGGTGTTCTTAATATTTTCGTATTGTAGGATAATTTAAAGGATTTATTTTATTTTATTTCTTTTTATATTAGCTTTATGTTAGAAACACGAACAATAATCTTGAGTTGACTGAACGACAGAAATGATAAAGTTAATCTTAAAGTGTAAAAAAAGGTCAAACGTTACAGAACGGTTTGCATTTTTTTATTTTGGAACCTTTTAACCCATTGGTGCTTGGTGCATTGACAAAATTTTTCCAAACGTTTATTTTGTTTATTATTCTCGTATTAAAAACAAACTATCTCCAAATTTGTGAATAATATTTCAAAATGTTTTTAAACAATGTTACAGAAATGTACGATATTTTTATTTCTTCATTTAATTTGATTTAATTTAACTTTAATTGTGTGCTTTTTAAACTCATTTCAATTTTACAAATAAAAAATAAAGAAAAAATTTAGTCTTCGTGGTTTTGAAATAAAAAGATTAATTTAAAAAAAAAAAAAAAAATTGAAATCAATTAGAAATTCACATCTTGTATACGTTTTAATATACAGAAGTATATTTTATCATCAAATTTTGTGTCTTAAAATACCAAAAATTTAGTAGATCGAAGATAACACGTTGTCAAGGTCAACGACATCATAGAAATCATCAAAAAATGACCATATATCCTTGTTGACCTTCACAAGTTATTACGAAATCTCACAAATATTTTTCATTCATTCAATTCTTCTTTTTTTATCAATTTATTTTCTCTACTTTTAGTACCAACCCTACAAAATGCTACCAAATAATTCTTCAATAAATTCAATCTTCAAAAAACAAATCAAACGAACAAAAAAAGAAATGAAATTCATTTGATAAAAAATAAAAATAAAATTCGAATAATTGGATTTAATAATAGAAAGTAATGGTGATGATGTTTAAGAATTGAAATAAAAATGGTTGTATGGGTTTTACAGGTATGCGAGGAGCAAAAGTGCCAAGAGGAAGTATTCCCCCTATCGATGAACTACGTCGACAGGTTCCTTTCGGTCTGCACGATCAGGAAGTCGCAGCTGCAGTTGTTAGGAACTGCATGCTTACTACTTGCATCGAAGTTAAGAGAATCATCGCCGTTAAAAGCCGAACTTCTCGTTTTCTACACAGACAACTCCATCACTCTCGATGATCTTTGGGTAAGTCAGTTTTTTCTTTTATATTTGAAAATGTTGAACAATTTCATAAGAAAAATTCTAATTCAATTATTTATAGCATCTGATGATTGAAATGATTTCAATTCATTTACGTAATATATTTAATTATTTATTTCTTTTTTTTAAATTATTTATATCATGTTAGGATGGTCTAATCATTTGATCTAATCATCATCTAATCTAACTTAAATTAAACATAAAATAAAAGTATTATTATTATTATTAAATTATTATTCTATATAATTCGAATATCGACTAACTTCAACCTATAAACTTTACCTATAACAATTTATAAATAAAAAATTAATTAAATAAACAAATTAAAATTGGACCGAATTGTAACTCTAAACCATTATCGAATCCACCTGAAGACACACACGAAATTTCATTAAAATTGGTCCAACCGTTTAGAAGGAGTTCAATGACATACACACGCACAGAAAAATTATATATATAAAGATATAATATATATTTATTTTACGTATTTAAAAATGTTGAATATTTTTATATTAGAAAAAAATTCGAAATTAATTACACTCACATTTCACTTAATTTATTTGATTATTTATTATTTTGTAAATGATTTAAATCATGTTAGATTTAATCTAGTCATTTAAATCATCTGATCTAATCATCATCTAATCTAACTTCAATTAACAATAAACTCAAACCACATTTTGAAAGGATTTACAATTAAATTAAATTCATTTCATAGTTTTTGTTAGAATAAGAATCACAATTATAACAAACATTATAAATGTTTTTTTATTTATTTATTTATTTTTAACACTGAATAATATAAAATGTGATATCGTAGATATAAAACTAGATCTTACCATTAGAAAATAGAATATTAAAGAAATATAATGTTATATATCTCTCTTGTACTTGTCTTACTCTCAATATCGTCAGTTTCAATGTTTTTAAAAATTCAGTAATATGTTACTCGATAGTTCTTGGTCATACAAGAATTTACACATACATACATACAAACACACACATACCATCATATATACACTTTCTCTCTCACGATCTTCATTTCTCTCTATTTATTTTATTTGAGAAACGTAATACGCGTGTAAGGTGGTACATTCTATTTTTCAAACGAGTACTCTCTTAACTTTGATACATCTACAGATAAATTTTCATCTTGAAATACGTAATATGATTCTTATTTCAACAACTTTATTACTGATATTTAAAATTATGTTAGAATAACATAGAAAGATAAATGGAAAAATAATGAAATTCATATTGTTCTATTATTTTAACAAATTTATCTCTATCTTTATTCCTAATTGATAAAAATTTGGTATCACAGGAAAGTTGGACAGGTAAAAAAATTAGAACATATTTTTCATACTTAGTTTTTATTTGTATTTTATTCTGTCAACTCGTAAAACAACTAATTTATTTATTATTAATTTATATACAATCTTACGTACAATTTAATTATAAACAAAATTAATTTTCGAATCAAGTTAATTATTTTAAATTTAAGAAAAGTTTAGGAACAATATGGATTAGAAAATTTATCATAATCTTTGAACACCAAATAAAATGCGAATCAAAAACTAGCATATATATATATAGATACGGTGACTTATAATTAGATACAAAAAAAGAAAGAAAGAGAGAGAGAGAAAGAGAGAGAGAGAGTAAGAAAGATTGTCAAGAGTCGCTGAAAATTAAATAATGTTACTATCAGCCTGTTATCTATTTAGGCTTGCTCAAGCTATCACTTGTTTGCTCCAAGTTGGTCTGTCACATTCTCAAAAAAAAAAAAAAGAAGAAAAAAAAGAGGAAGAAAAGAGTTAAATTTTCATTTTGTTTATTCAAAAAAAATAACAAAAGTCACATTAACATTCTTACTAGTAATAAATTTCATTAACATTAAATTTAAATCACACACTGAATCAATTTGATTGATGAAAAGTTTCATATTGTATTTAAATTTATTTTAATAATATAATAATTTTTTAATTTTTTTTTAAGGTTACGAGCCTTCTGTTATTTTTATTTAAAGTTAGGTAACTTTCCAATGCTTTTTTTGACGTTAGGTATTTTTTTGAAATTTTTATTTAAGGTTAGATGCATTTCTGATGCATTTTTTAAAATTTGGTGCCTTTCTGATACTTTTATTTAAGGTTAGGTAACTTTCCAATGCTTTTTTTGACGTTAGGTACTTTTTTGAAATTTTTGTTTAAGGTTAGATGCATTTCTGATTCTTTTATTTAAGGTTAGGTGCCTTTCTGATATTTTTATTTAAGGTTAAATACCATTTCGATTCTTTTATTTAAGATTAGATACCTTTCTGATGCATTTTTTAAAGTTTGGTGCCTTTCTGATACTTTTATTTAAGGTTAGGTAACTTTCCAATGCTTTTTTTGACGTTAGGTACTTTTTTGAAATTTTTATTTAACGTTTGGTGTATTTCTGATTCTTTTATTTAAGGTTTGGTGACCTTCTGATATTTTTATTTAAGGTTAGGTGTATTTCTGATTCCTTAATTTAAAGTTAGGTGCATTTCTGATTCTTTTATTTAAGGTTAGGTGCCTTTATAATGTTTTTATAATTTCTTTTTATTTTTTTTTTATTTTATATTGTATTTGTTGGATCTAAATGATTTAAATTTAATTATTTAATATTACATATTATATTAAAAATTATATAAAATAATTCAATTTAAATAATTTAAACCCAACAAAATATAATATAAATTTAATAATAATAATAATATATTTTGTTATTTAAATTATTTAAAAAAATAATGAAGAAAACATTCCTAAATCTAATATTAATTTAATTACATTCCTTTAAAAAGAAAAAACAAATCAGAACAAAATACAAAATGGAAACCAAATGATTAAATGATTAATTAAAATATACAAAATAATAAAAGGTGTTCAAAATCGATGATCGATTATTATATCCCTTTTTACCTGTATCTTTTTACCATTCTCTCTCTCTTTCTCTTTTTCTTTTTCTTTTTCATTCTTTTTCTCTTTCTCTTTTTCTATGGGAATACATTTCGATTAATCGAAATAGAATTTCAGCATTGAATTTAGGTAACTGTGTTGTATAATTTGACTATTTTTATTCTCTTTTCTTCTCACTTAAAGTTTCATTCATTGTAAAACATCTCTAAGAATGTGTTTTTCTTTCTTTTCTTTTTTCTTTTTCTTTTTCTTTTTTATAGGACTGTTCTCACATACACAAAATAACCGTAAATTTCTCCTATTAAACTTTCATAAGATTTGCATATCGATCTAGATGATAGATACGATTTTTTTTTGTTTCTTTTAAAAAAAGAGTCCCCTCCCTCTAACACACACACACACACACACACACACAAACACGAACATTTTTCATCTTCTCAATCGAATTTTATTTTTATTTTTTTTTAAACATATCTCATTTGTTTTTATTCAATTAATGATCCTTAATTTAGTTACGTAACCTAAAAGTTCAATTTATATCAAATTTAACTGATTTGATTGTTCATACACACGTGAAATTATTTAATTAATTTTTATCTAACACACATGTTACATCAAATATTTTCTTTTCCTTTCTTTTTTTTTTTTTAAACATTTTATCATCAACAGTTTGTTTGTCAAAAGATAGTTTGTCACCAGTAATAAAAACACACTCAATCTTTTCAATAATTCATAAACATCTTCTCTTTCTCATTATTCATTTCATTCAAAAATGATTTTCTAAGAATTTCTATTCCAACCAGAGTTAGCCTAGATTTCGTAGCCAATCATTTCCATTCGTGATATAAGATAAGTTTAAATAGGTTATGTTTTTAAACACATTGTCCTGTAAACAAACATACTACGCCATACGCATTCGCATAAGTTTTTCGTAAGAATTCAAATTAGATTTGTAAAATTTGGTTGAAATATTACCTAATACTATTTAGGTTAGGTTAAGTACCTTTCAGATAGTTTTATTTAAAGGTTAAGTGCCTTTTCGATGTTTCTATTTAAGGTTAAGTGCATTTGTGATAGTTTTATTTAAAATTAAGTGCCTTCTGATTCTTTTATTTAAGGTTAGTTGTATTAATGATGTTTTAAGTTGAGGTTACATACCTTTTTGATTCTTTTATTTCAGGTTAGGTGACTTTCTGATTCCTTAATTTAAGGTTAGGTGCATTTCTGGTTTCTTCATTTTAGATTAGATGTCTTTCTGATGTTTTTATTTAATGTTAGATGCATTTCTAATAGTTTTATTTAAGATTAGATGCCTTTCTGATGCATTTTTTAAGGTTAGGTGTCTTCCGATACTTTTATTTAAGGTTAGGTGCATTTTGAATGTTTTTATTTAAGGTTAGGTGCATTTCTGGTGTCTTCATTTAAGATTAGATGTCTTTTTGATATATTTATTTAAGGTTAGGTGTATTATTGATGTTTTAAGTTGAGGTTAGGTACCTTTTTGATTCTTTTATTTAAGTTTAGGTGACTTTCCAAAGCTTTTTTTGAGGTTAGGTGCCTTTCTGAAGTTTTTATTTAAGGTTAGATGACTTTTCGATGATTTTATTTAAAACAAATTTGCGAAACTTCATTCGAATATTTGTTAATGGTAATAAAGCAGAAAAAAAAGAAAATATTGTGAAAGAAACTTTTTATTTTTTTTTTTGTATTTTTGTTTAAAGAACAACCAACCGGTTTCTTCTTCTTTTTCTTCTAATCGGTGATTCTAAACCTGTTAGACACGGTATAACTAATAACCTGTGTGTAACGTAATCACGAAGTCATTATCATTCGAGTTGGTCATTCGAGAACATACCTAACGCAATTTTGTTTCTTTTTTCTATGGGAGAGGGGGAGTGAGGTGGGGAGTGTTTTTTACTATGATAATATAGAGTTATTATTACTATTACTATTACTATTACTATTACTATTACTATTACTATTCTATATGGATAGTGTATTATCTTTATTATACGTCAAGATGTTTTATCTTTTACTCGTTTG